GGAAAACCGAAAGCCGGAAGATTCTTAGAGATACCGGGACACGTTTCTTCCCCTCGTTCGCGTGGATACGTTCAACGATACGTGTCGTTATCTAACGCAACCCGAGAGAAACAGCGGAGAAACAAGCCCGAATCGAGAATGGTCGAGCAGGCTTCCGTTGGCTGCTGACTTTTCGTCCAATAACTACGTCTTCTTGCGGAACTCTTGTCGTAGACGAAGTTTCCAAACTGGAAATTGCGTCTGATATCGGCGAGTGTGTCCAAACTGGAACTTTCTCCCAATCGATGTTTGAGATTCGCGTGAAAATATACGTTATGTTAATTGCTCGATGAAAGAGCACGTTTCTGCAAATCGAATTCTCGACGGAGGGAATTTTTCGTGTGCCTGATAATTTGCAACATTGATAAGTGTGCCATGATACTGAAAACTGTTCGCGATGAGGATTTATTTCTTGATTGCCATATTGAATTTTATTTTGTTGTCATAATTTTGTAAAACGGCTGTATACCTTGTGATTGCAATAAACGATTGATGCGCAATTGATCATCGATACATGAAACTGCGGTAAATTTTCGCGCTGTTCGTCTTTCGATCGGTATCGTGAGATACAGAAAAGATCAAAAGGCTCGTGCTGAAACGTGCACGCACTGCCAAGACAATGGTGTTCTTCTGGACGTCGCCGATATAATGCCGATACAATGGCAACGGGCACGAGCCTACGTGTAGAACCAGTGTAGGTAGTCACTGACATTTTCAAATGTCAGCGGACCCTCTCGCAATACGCTGTTTATCATTTGGGTTACCAGTGACTCGTCTATGTAACCAATATCTGTACCAATGTGAATCTGGAAGTTAAAATTCGGTTATTTTCTCATGGTCGTACGAAATGGCCCTTTTGGTTGATTAGAGGAAAGAAAAAGGAAGAGAGAGAGAGCCGTGTAAGTTGTCGGGCAATGAAAATGTGAAAACCTTTGGAAGAATTTGACCTTTTCATGCAGCCAGTGTGAATCGTTAATCCTGAATAGCTTATCCTTTTTCGTTATAAGAACGTAAGATTGATAATTTGTTTAATTTATTAACCTTTTGAGTGTACTAAAATATGTACAGATAATATATTGCAATTATTATACGTTGAATTTATTGTATATCATATATTATATATAATATACAATATACAATATATTCAATGTGTAAATATTGTATGTTACATATTATATATTAAACAAAAATATCAAAAGGTATGTTTAAAGATGGATGCATTCTCAATTTCTAGCTTAAACTCGAAGTATGCATGCCGCGCAGAGATCGAAAGGAAATCGTAATCGAATGCGCTCGTGGGACAGAACGTACAATGGAAGTTGATGAAATACGCGATGAAATTGTTGCTTAGCACGATACCTGTCGTACTTGCGATGTCTCACGGCATCAACAATGAAATCAGCGTTTATCGTGCAATTACATCGCTAATTCCGTTTCAAACGGAAAGCGCGAAGAGACAGAGAAAGCGTGGACAACTTCTTTATCTCTCATCCACTTACACGTCTCGTTCGTTCTTAGTTTTTATACTAATTGCGTCGCGTTGCGTAATCCCTTTCATTGACAATATATCGTTCACTGAACTCTGTCAACGTTCGATGTTGACAACTGCAACGACTTTTTTTTTGAAATAGCACAAAGTCACATTGCTATACTATTTAAGGATAGAAGCTCGCAACGAGTGTACAGTAATGTGGAAATTAATAACTCGAACGATCCCGATTGAGATAGTCCACGGCCACGGTCGATCCACGTAACTCTTGCACGATGTTATTAATTGCGCGTGACGAATTAAATGGGACAAGATTTCAGGCGGAATAGAGCAACCGTCAAGGTGGTTCCGCGACTGCTTTTACTTGCTGCTAATGAACGATCCGCTAGTAACCAGTCGCAGACATAAACACCTTTCCCGTCTTTCTTCAAGGCAACGATCAGAAACGGGAAAACGAAGAAATTATTTTATCGCGGTCGTCGATCGTTTCGAGAGATTCGGAACGATGCTTTTTACACTCCCGACTGATATTTATTACCGAGATTACGCATCTCGGCTCGTTCATTCTGATTGATGTAACGACTGCAAACGTCATTCGGATGTTGGCGTTCGTCTCATCGAGCCCCGTTTAAATCGTCCTACTACTCCCTGTCGGCTCCAGGTCTAAATTTACGACTTTCTACGAGATTAACGCACCGAGTCGAAACACCATTTCAATTTGTCCGTTCGGCAATACTATACTGAAATTCTATACATAATTTCGATATAATCAAAATAGTATTAACGTCTCTTCGTCAATTGATTGCGATCTTGCTTCAATTTGCGTTCATCTTAACCTCTTGCGCTGGAATCAAGAACTTTTTCTCCCGAAATTGCGATATTTGCTCAGTTTTAAGTATATATAAGTATAACCCAGGCAAAACCAATAATAGATTTATTACTTCTCAATCAGTGATATCGTATCGACGAGTTCAAAAAGAAAGCGACGAATTATTGTATACGGCTTGGGTCACTCGTTATGGTCCGCAATCAGTTGCCAGCGCAAGTGGTTAACCTCTTGCGCTGGAATGACGTGCCATGCACGTCGAAAATTATTTTATCCCAAAATTGCAATATTTTCTCAGTTTTCGGTATATTTAAGTATATAACCCAGGCAAAACAAATAATAAATTTATTACTTCTTGGTAATTTCTATCCAGCTCCGAGTTTAAAAAGAAAGCGACGAGTTATTGTGTACGGTTTGGTCACTCGTTATGGTCCGCAATCAGTTGCTAACGCAAACGGTTAAGACGACATCGAAGTAAATGACCGCCGCGGTAAATGCCTTCTCACTGTTACGCTGTAAAACACATAATTCCGTTGGGAAACGGTATGATCGTGCATATACGTTCATCTGCGTCACGTATGTTTTCTTTCGTCGTTGACATGGATTCTCCGCTTCCTTCGTCGCGTAAACTTTTACGAGTTGCCCACGTTCGTCGATGTACGAGCGTCATGTGTCTCGCAAGGCTCGTTACTGACACTTGTCAGGAGACGTCCGTTGAACTTCGCGAGGAGCAACATTCTCCAACGACCCTGATGAAAAGTCCTTGTTGACTCGGCACCGGCTGGACTGACACAGTTGACGCGGTGAATAGGGAACGCGTTAATCTTCGTTACGTAATTCTTCGCTTAACTCGGTCGCTGGTACAGCCTCGCGAAATTAGAAAGACAGAAAGAGTCCTTTTTACCGCACTCACATGTGTGTATGCGCGCGCGTGTGTATGTGTGTGTGTGTCCGAGCGTTTGTTCGATGACTCCGTAAATTCCACGTACCTCGTGCATATCATTCGTTGAAACTTGGTTGATCTTTGCTTGACCGCGTTCAGATCTCTGATGCCTCTGATTTACACGAAGCAATAAAATGCAATGACTCGCGAATCTTTTCTATTCGTCGAAGAATACACTTATTGCATACATCATCATCAGTCATCCGAGTACACGTACATATGTGTAACTGTTTCTTTAAGATACGTGCAATTATTTGATTTATAACATCGCTGTACATTGTTCCAAATACTTTTATCGTAAACTATAGTATAGATGGAACCACTATTATGTTTGATTGTAACACAGACAGAGCTACTACTATGTTTGATTATAATTATAATTATATAAAGGACACTACTTGTTCGTACTAAAAAACGATTTCTCGAATATTTCTTACAATTCTATTACAAGATTCGAAACGTGCCGTAGAAGTAAGTAAAACCTTACCGAGTGTCTGGCGATCCCGAAACGTCAGGGACGCGCCGATCAATAGAAGACCAAAAGGCACATGTCCCGGTAGCCTCTCACGCGGCGGTGCTCTCGAAGTTGGCAGGCATGCCGCCTCTGTGAATGCCGGCTAATCGTTCTGAAAACGAGTATGTCAGTGCCGATTGCTCGACGATTGCTCTTCCTCCTTTCTTCACCGATCCACCTCGAGTCTTTCCTCGAGCTTGGACAAATTTTCTTAAACAACAACTTCTCACCCAACTCGAGAATCGTCGACGACGATCGATATCGATGATAGGCGTCGATCACTATTGGAATGTGTCGCGTGACTGAGCGAAAAAAATTCACCAATTCACCAGTCAGGGCGAGAAAGATCCCACGAAAGCGCGCGACGGGTGCTGGTCGCCAGCTTTCAACAACGAACGATCAAACCGACGACGAGGCGCGAACACCGATTCGCATTGTACGAAGAATTGGCAAGTTCGTCGCTAGTGACAGCGACTAGGGGCGACGATTGTCTCGAAGAACGATACGACGGGAACGGGAAGAACAGCGCGGAAACGGAAAAATGTCGGGGCAGCCTGCCATCGGGTAGACCGACGACCCGGTGCGGTTCTTCCAACACGGCGACACACTGCGCCGACGTCGCGACGACGACGACGTCGTCGCCTAGGCGACCGCGCGACCTCTCGCTCTTCTCCTCTCTGATGAACGAAGAGGAAAAGGAGGAGGAGAAGAACGAGGAGAGAGAGGAGGGTGGAGATCGATTAATCGAACCGGCGCGAGTACGCCGTGCCAGCGAGATATCGAAACGTCGAGAGAGGGAGGAGAAAAACTTCGATGTGTTTTTTCTTCCTGTTGCTTCCTCTGAAGCTTTCTCGCAAATATCCGCCGTCGTATGGACTTTCTGCCGACGAATGGATCTGTCGCCTTTAACGTGCAAATCCTCGTCACTTTTTGCCGGCGCGTGCTTCCGTTCGTTGCATTTTTATTGGTCTAGTTTCAGCGCTCGGCGTGCGTCGTTCGTATCCAGAACTTTTGGCAGCCTTGTTCATTCAAATTGATTCAAACGAGAGGCAGTTTAGGCACGCGCGACAAAGCGTTCCTTTTGCAAATCACTGCTCCCAACGATTCAATGCTTTGAACTTCAATGCGTGTAATTCGATAATCGATCACCCAACGTTGACTGGTAATCGCAAATAACGTGAGAGGTTATGCAAACGAAATGGTGAAAAATGCTGTTAGAATCTACGCAAGATTAAAACCGGAAAGAAATCGGGAGAGCACGGTGGTAGATATCGCAGCGTGTTGAATGGGGATCGGCTTTATATAACGCGCATTTTCTTTTCAAAGAATTATCAGGTATTGCATCGTCCCAGAGGGAATCTCGAGGAAGATTTCTTGGTTCTAGTGTCGCCGATTCAAAAGTTAAAAGATTGCCCTGACAATCGTCCCGAGTCGTGGAACTTTTCGTAAGATGTCGCGCAACTGGCGCTCGATTATCAGAAATGTACTTTAAATGTACAGCTTGAAATCTTTGACTTTCAGTTTCTTTCGAATATTCGAGGAATCTGCAACGCAGCAAGACGTGTTCGAGAATGTAGCACTGCCCGTAGTAGAAAGGTAAAAGGAATCGTATCGTTCGTTAACGAATTAAATCCAATACAAGTATTTACTTAGCCATGCAATTTTGTTTATTAAAGTGCCCTCGATGGTTACAATGGCACCATTTTCGCCTATGGCCAGGTATACCGAGCAAAAAATCGATAGAATCGAGAATGTGGTGCGAATAAAAAGTTTATTTGATCAGTTCTCTCTGTTTCTTTTACATCCTTTAAAAACAACGTGCTTGGATCACTAAACTAGTCTGATTTGCTTAGTTGTCGTATTTAGGATAACTTAGTGTTGATTTTCTATTTCTCGTATCAATTCAACTTACTGATTTGATACATCTGCCAACTTTTATTTTGTTTATTTATGGTTGTTCTCTGCAATTTTCGTTCCATACATTACATTTCGTGCAAATAAATAAATTAAAATATTACCGCATACTTAAAGTACGCCGGTATAATATGGTCACTATATCAATATAAGTATATTATTGGAAGGAATTTTCGCGTTTAATCTCGCGTACACAGATACGAACATAATTATGAATTTGTAACGTAGAAACTGAATATTTATACTCTGGAAAGAAAGACTTTTAATATTTTTGCGACATTTGTGGAAAATTTTCTGTTTTCTGAACTGATTTTTTCTCTACCAAACTTAGATTCACAAACCTGATCGTAAGGACCTGTTTGCTTGCTAACGAAATTATGGACCGAATAAATTTGTGTTCCTGGTACTATTGGCAATTGTAGATGCTCTGTTTTAAAGACTAATTTTAAAGATTCGGTGATCAATTTTTAAGCTTCCCAATATTATATTACACGTATCATGGTGTTGTAACTGTATGCCGTCACTTTTAATTTCCTTCACTTTCTTATATCACTCGTGTATGTATTTTTACACTTGTATAATATTCTCGCAACTCTATTGTATCAAAGGGGCTTCGCCTGTTTATTTCCAACTAAATAAATAGAAACGAATCGTCCAAGAAAATTGCGAATTCGTGCTATATTCTCGAATATTCTATCCACGAAGTATCGATAGAGGACGAACCTGTGGTACGTTTTAAGCCGCGAACTTCGTAGACAGCCAGTGGGAAAACGCACACGATAACCGGAGACCTGGAGGACGAGAACCGTGGCATCATACCGAGAACATTGCAATTCCTGTTCGATGCGATACAAAAGGTTGCGTTTGTTAATTTATCAGAGCGCGTAAAGAACCTTCATTGCTACCCTTGAATTTTATGCAGCGACCGGAGAACGTATACTCCATCGAAGTGGCTTACTTGGAGATTTACAACGAGATCGGCTATGACCTGCTAGATCGGAGACAGCAACGAGATTTTGCGGTTACGAGATTGGAAAATTTACCGTAAGTCCGGCTGACGTAAATGGCGGCTTGTCAACCAATACGCGAACACGGCTATTTCGTAAAAACCAGAAGAACCTCCCCTAAAAGGAAACAACTTGCTTGACCCGGCCGATCAACCGTGATTCCGGTAGGCTTCGAGTCATAGAGGAACGGTGCGCAAGGTGCAACCGTTCTTATGCTCTTCTCATTTTGCGTCGCGTTATGTCTAGTCCAGACTGACAGACTTGCGCACATACATAAAAATAACGGGGAAACAGAAATGCAAAAATACGCCTCCAGAAACTTAAATTTTACTTTAAATTTTAAACTTAAATTTTACTTTAAATTTAAGGATAGGCATTGATTTATATTTCTTCACTCCAATGTCCGCGGAGAATATCCTTTTCGCTGTTTGTTGAAAAGTAAGAAAGGATAATGAAGTTCCTCATCCGTTGGAAATTTTCGTCGCGTTTCAGGCGCATCAGTATTCGAGAAGACGAGGTTGGGAAGCTACATCTGAAAAATTTGACGTTTTACTGCGTTAGAAATTTGGAGGACGCGTTTGAATTGCTCCTGCTGGGCGATAATAATCGGTAAGATAATCTAGATGTACGTTCTGTGTAGGGATGTGTGTCCTGTCAAAGAGAAATGTATAAATATGTAATTCTTGATAGAGTTATCGCCGATACACCGATGAATCTCCAGTCTTCGAGATCGCATTGTATCTTTACCATCATAGTTTCTGCGAAACAGTTTGGCGCTGAACAGTACAAGCGAGCGAAAGTACATCTAGTCGATCTGGCAGGGTTCGTATGCAATTCTCTACTCTTGTATCGACTGAAGATAAAAGAGCTGTGGAGATTGCGCAAGAATTGAACAGCTCCTAAAGACAACCTCGTTGAAAAGAAATTTATTTTTTTAATTTTAATTAGGCGTTATAATTTAACGAAAAAGAAAACCAAACGTGAAACTATTATTACTACTTATATGTTATTTATTTTTTATCGTTTATTATTCTTGACTTGATGTAGAGTAAGCAACTAGTTGCTTCAAAAATTATTATTTACTATTTAAAAGAAATAAGTAGATAATGAAAATATTAGATGGAAAAATTTATTAATAGAGAATTTTTAGAATATATTGAGGCGTAAAATTTTTACAATTTAAAGGAGAAATTTCTTTTCTTCATAATTCTTGCCACATTCCTTGCTCTGTCATGCAGCTCCAAATTATTTATTTATTTATTTATCAATTTAACGAAAAAAGCTTATTAAATAATAATATTATTATTACTTTATACGATGCAGAACTCATTGCTTTATGCATTTTATATTTAATCTGAGATTGAAAGTTATTAAAAAAGATCAATATCAAAGTCTTGAATAATCTTGTTAGTTATATTAAAAATCATGGATACAGGATCTAATTGCTTAAGCTTTTTTTGCAAATTCAACATTTAAGAAAAGAAAAATCCCTAAAATAGAAGGCTAGCTTAAGTTAAATCCCTATAATGAAGGAATACATTAATTGTATAGAAACAACGTATACGTTCATAATTGTGATCATCATTGATCTCTCAAACTTATAAATGATAAAACGCTAGAACGTATGCTGAATTTTTTCTCAAATAAAGTACAATGAATTATATAGACAATAACAGAGACAATTCTAGATATCGAATGATTTATCAAATGAAAATAATTTTCAATATGTATATATATTGGAGCAGGCGATGACATTCGAAACATTTGACGAAAAACTAGTAAACGGCTACGTCGATAAGAATGTTGAATTCTTTAAATTAAAAAAAAAAATCATACGATTTGAAGCTGCACAGCACAGCAAAGACTATCCTCGAATATAATTGAAAACTTTTTGTCACAGATTTAATACAATGTCGTACGTTAATTTTCATAAATAATAAGGAAGTGTGCAAGAGAAAGTACGATTAAACTCACACACGCCAACGATCTCTGCGATCGGTGTGACGATAATTTGAAATTCCTTCCGCAGGTTGCGTCTCTATCCTGACAATGTTGAGGAAATGACTTTTTCGCGATTACACGCCAACATCTCGAATGCATTAAACGTCGACCTACATACTTCGTCGGCGATAATTTTTTTTTTTTCTACGCGTAAACCATCGTTGTCGTGCTTTCTCATTTGCCATCTGCGCCCGTGCTGGCAAATTTTGTAACGGTATCCGATTTTTCAACGTGAGATCTCCTCGTAGGTCCGAACGTGTCTACAAATGCTCGATAACCGGCACCATTCTGACCGAGGCGAAGCACATTAACCTGAGCCTACATTACTTGGAACAAGTCATAGTGTCTCTGGGTCAGGAGAGCGTGGGTCACATTCCTTACAGGTGTTAAATTCACTCAACGATTTGTATAATCCGGCGGTATAATTTTTCATTCCGTCAATAATGTACGAATGACGAATAAATTCTTATTTCTGTAGTTTATTTTTTTATTTTTTTGTTTGGAATTAGAAAATGGATATCGGAGTAATTAAGCAAGATTTCATCTTCGATTAATCGTCGTTCTCATTCTCAGGAATTCATTGTTGACGTCGATTTTGAGAGATAGCTTGGGAGGGAATTGTCAGACTATCATGTTGGCGACCATAAGCGTTCACTTTTCTAATTTGGAAGTACGATTGTCATCAATTATTATCTCGTTTTATTTATTAATCTGTTTAACCGGATGTGTTTCGTAATTGCCAGGAAACGGTGTCCACTTGTAGATTCGCTCAAAGGGTGGCTCTTATTAAGAATTACCTGAAGTTAAATTTTGAGACAGACGTTCAAAGTGAAAACGCGTTATTGAGAGCGGAGAACGAAAGGCTTAAGCAACAAATCAAAGTTTTGACCAGGCAAATCGTTCAGTATCTTGAGTAAAAATCAGTCGAAAACTGGCGAATAGATATTTTTCACTCGTTTGATATTTCTTTTTAAAGCAGACGCCTGAGGAACTGACGGCTAAGGATAAAAGAGATCTCGACTGTAAGGTCAGAAGCTTTTTAGAATCAGGCGAACGAGTCTTCTGGGACTTCAATCCGAAGAAGGTCGAATATTGTTTCGAAAGTTTCAAACGAGCTTTCGAATTGAGCAAAGACCAAAAATGTTATCCCAAGAAACTGGAATATTATGAGGATCTAGTGACACAAAGAGACAAGGAAATTTGTATCCTATTACTATTTTGTTATTACAATGATTACGATTGTAATTGTAATTGTAATTGTAATTTTCACTAGAAATTCACTTTCATATTAATTTTGCTCACTATTGTTTACAGTCGGAGAGGATATTGATGGTTTTGTTCATAATTTTCTTTTTCTTTCTGTAAAAAGTTGGCAAGTGCACTCTGCAATTTGTACATAATGTTTGCAATTTTTCACTGTAATATTCCATCATGTACTGCTGCTCTATTCGTGAACGTTGTCATTATAATTTAAACAGTATGTCCTAGTTTTTCGTGGCACAATCAGGATGAAGGTGTTTCTACTTCTAATGGGTCGAAAATATAGAACGAAATCTTTTCGTATGACGTTTTTAAGAAAATCGAGTTTAAAAATTTGTCGAGTATACATATTAGATTAGAGTGGATTAATTAGATTAATTAATTATTAGATTAGTTCTAAATTGAAGAGAGGTAAATGATCTACAGAAAGTTGTTCTACGTGCGAAGATAAGTAAAAAGTGTGAAATAAAGTTTTTTGACAAAGCGCTTTGTTCTCGAGAAAATTACACACATCGACATACATATTTTGATATATAGATATCCGATTATACCATGAAAACTGAGACTTTATATAACAAAAAAGCAGATGAATATCTTCTTCACAAGAATACATAGTTGTCTATTACATTTATGAACTCTAAATTATTTTTAAGCGATTTTACAGTAAATAATCAGTTACTTTCTGCAGGAAGAATCGAAGAATGATTTTGACTCACTTTAAAACTTGTTCTAAGAATTTTAAAAAAGTGACTATAATTCGTCTTTGTACCTTTGTCGAGAATACCTTGAATTTTGCATTATTTATTCGAAAATTTCTTAACTCTTCGATAGCATATTTAATCGATAAAATGAAGAAGAAGAATCACCAACTTACAGAAGCGAGTGATGATAGATTTACAATTAATAGTATCGAGAACGAGAATCAAGAAATCGTACAAGATTCGATAAGCAATCGTATACCATTAAAAAAACAAAAACGAAGACCTAAGATTAGTGATCAAATCAAATCTGACTGCGGTGTAAATGTTAGGGATAACAATTCGACGTTGAAAAACAAATCGGTATTCTCTGATACCTCAGAGCAATTGCCTTGCAATATTGTTAATTTAACTTTAAGTGATTTAACTCGGGATCGAGATCACACAGTTGATCAGAAAGTAACTGATAAAACTAATGACTCGAATCAACAATCCTTATGTAAAACTGGAAAACAGAAGAATGACAGAAAGAAACATAATACTCGGATAGACTCGATAGTGAATCAACAAAATGAGCAAAATCCTATTGAATTGCCAAGTGCTGAGACGAAAATTGTAACTAAGGAAGCTTCATTCGTAGAAGCAGATTATTCGGTCCCAGTGTATCAAAAGTTTTTAAGCTTCGATGCGTGTACTCCAAAAAGTCCTTCAACTCTAAAAGAAAACGTGAAAATTGAGAAAGAAGATTTCGACCGGAAGTGTGATTCGGAGAAAAATGATAAGCAGTTTGAGGATTCATTGCCATTGACTGGGGATCCAGAAATCGACGAGGAAATCATAGCGTTCTACAAAGCGAAACGATCTGGAAGTATTTACTGATCAATTTTTCAAAGTGCTGTTTACGATAAAGAATGCAGAAATACAGTATTTCATAATCATATGCTTATTATTCGTATGTACAATCAATTACAATACAACGTGTAATGTATAACACAATATAATATAATATCAGTTGATTCTAACTCAATAGTTTTATACGCACTAAACTAAAAAAAATTTTCAATTAATTTTCAATTAATTAATTATTTTCCAGGCAACTATAATGTTTTCAACACGTTAACGGTCCCATGTCTAATTTTTCGCCGTACATTTTTGCTTCTAAAATGGTTAATCTATTTCCATAAGCTAAACCTAGACAGTATCGTTTTGCTAAATTAGGATATTTTCTAATTTTAAAGGTAAATAATTTATCAACGTTCATTCTTATACTGTCTCTGTACAGAAAGCCTTGGATGCCTGAAAAAAAGAGATTCGCGCTTGAAAATGATCTAATAATACAGTAGAAACTCCCATATTCGAGCTAATAGGAAGATAAAAATATTTTGTTAATGGAACATTTTCGAATAATAGAACAATTACTTTTCTCACATGTATTAAATTGTATGTATTCAAACAGAGATCAAAAAAATTATTTCAAAATTGCTATATTTTCTTTTACTATTGAATTTCCTAATTTTTTTTAACATTATTAAGTATTTTTTTGTATTTCAAAAATCTTTTCTAAATATTTCAACGCAAGAAGAATGGCATTTATTACCAATAAACATTTTGTTCCAATAATATTAGAATACTCGAATAAGGAATGTTCTACTGTGGATTTTATGCATTTATGAAAAATTTGGAGATGCAAAAATGCATATAATACAATACTTTCCATAACATTTAATAGACAAATGCTTCGGAGCGTGTTCATAAAAATATTTCCGCAATCTAATAATTAATAATTACCTTTATACTCGTAAATTCGAAGGTTCTTCCTGTTTTCAACAAAGACAAGCAGTGTTTCAATCAGTCCATCGAAATTAATGATAGTAAAGGACGTTGGCCTATGTGCTTTTATCGTCTGAACGATTTTCTTCCATTTTGTGCCATTATTACAAATCTGTGCAAATATATAAGAGTGAAGACATTGAAAAACATAGTTGGTCAGATACTTTCTGAAAGATCGAACTCACGAATATGCGATCCTCGCTGACTTCTTTGTCATAATACAAAAACATGTCCTTCTCGTATATTCCAGTTTTGAAATTCAAAGTTTCTGCATTTCTAACGTCAACGGTTATGTTGGTAGAATGGTCAACGTTATACTTATCGACAACGTTCTTACTGGTGAACAACATTTTGTCCTTGTCCAAAATAATTTGAACATTATCGTCATCTGTCGTAGACGATAGAGACTTTTGTAATTCTTCGTTCATCCTCCCAGACGATTGGAATTGTTCCTTTCCATTAATTAACATGAGGAACGCATCCTGATAGACTTTCTTGCCATCTACGTTATGACCGAAATCTAGAACGTGCTAAAAATGGAAAACGAAATACGAATAAAAAAAAAAGTACTTGATTACATTTTACTTTCAAATAGAACCATAAATCTTGCCTCGAACTCGTGGTTTCTCAATTTCCACAGATTAACAGGGCTCCTGCCGCAAGAATTTCGTCCTGAAGTGAGGAAATATAAAACTCCGTCGTGTTTGAAAGTGGTCCATTGTTCAACCACTCCGAAATCAGAGATATCGTTGACCAACTCGAATTTCATTCCATTGAACGAGTATACACGCATATGACAGCTATCGTAGCTTATCGTTATGTAGTCCAAGTTATCCAACTCGAAATAATGAGCGCTAACTATATCTCTGTCGAACTCGATGATCTGCAAATAATCGAACGCATTGAACTTGTAAATTTGTTTCTCTGCGTAGCGTTTCAGCTCCCGTAAATCTTCACACACGCTGTCCAGATTCATCTGAAAAAGAACGCACACACGTTTTAGACAAATTTTTCAATGTTCACGCTTGATCCATTGAAAACAATTTCCGTACACTTTTCTCTCCCAATACGTCATTCATCTCCAAATGTTTTTTCGCTAAAGCGTTGGACAATTCTGTGATGTTCACGCGATTTAACATGTCGCTTCCCGATGCTCCTTTCTCGAAGTAAACGTTGCCAAACACGGTCCATTTACCTAAGATAAACTGTGGAACTAAATTGTTGGCTGTGACCGCCACTGCTTCCCATCGAGATGGATCTATGCCGTTCAAGTAGCCTAAGACTCGAAGACTTTGATTGAAAAGTATTGGTCTTTCAAATATGAAGTTGCCTAGAAAAACAAGCATTGTACAAAAAAAAATGATTTATTATGAAATTACGAATCATTTTTCTCATTTGCGAAAAAAGTAATATAATTAAACGACACCAATGAAAAATTAAAGAAACGACGCATTTAAAAGTAATAAACTTCATGTCCTATCAATATGTTCACAGTGATAGTGAAAACAAAATTCATAATCAGAGTTATTTTATAGAATATAGCACAGTGTCGCACGAATTATAATTTCTTTTTAACCAAAATTGTGAGTCAATAAATAAAATATCCATAACTGTCTCTGAAATATTTTTATGGCGATAACTCGATAATCGTGTTCTTTGAATTGTGACATTTTTTTTTTTCGCAAGAGTATGATGTGCATTATGTCATTTTCTTTGGAAGTGAGCGACTTACGAAACACCATTAAACATTTATCTTACCGTTTATAGAACTTTTCGAATTCAAAGGTATAATATTCGTCGGATCAATATCATTAATAATGCGAGCATTGAAATCCCCTCGGACATAAACGTGACCACGAAAATTGAAATGTCCTGATATGTTCTGGTTCCCAGTCATCTGAAAACGTACGAGCGTTACTAAATACTCCCCAGGTGACCGTAAATAGTATTATAATAATATTATATATATAAATTTAGAATTTATTACGAGATGTTTTGAGGAACTTGGAACGATTTTCAAATAATATAGCTACTCTTCAGATACCTTTTAGGTAATCTTCAGACAATCTTTAAATAATCCCGCTTGTTTATTATAATATATATATATATATATATAATCTCTTTGAAATAGAAAAAAATAGAACTTTCGAAAACATTTAATACTGTAATAATTGATTGATTGAAAGTATACCATGAAAGTATTGTCTTGAATCTTCTGCAGGTTTCCATCGTTGACCTTTCCTAAAATTTGTAATTGATCTGCAGTAACATTGTCACATTTCAAGACTTTTATAATTTGTTCAGCGTTCAGTGGTATTAACAATTTCATGTCCAAATCGTTGAATTTCCCCACTTGAATGTCAGATTCGAAACTCACATTAGTAAATGTGGTAATCCCTGTGAAAGAACAAAAATAAAACATTTGCAAAGTACATACATCTTAAGATGTGCTCCAAAATAAATACAATTTTACTTACCTTCGATATAATTAGGTTTGTCGAGAATCAGAACATTATCATACAGATTATTCGCATCGATTCCCATAATAGACTTTGTTTTGAGATTTCTCGATACTGCAAGATCCTTCTCTATCTTTATACCATCTTTGAAAATAATTTTTGATTTAACAGAAAATGGCTGGTCGATGAAGATAGCTTTCTGTTGGAATCTTTTCAAATCAATGTTATTCAATTTGTCGCGTACTACGAGCCTGTCATTAAAAATTACTGAATTTTGAAACACTTTCGTGCCAGAAATTATAAGATTATCCTCGATGTTAAAAATTATCGTGTTCAAGAAGTCGTCGAAATTTTTCCCTTGGATTAATCCTATCGTGTAAAGATTGTTTACAGTCACATTGTTCAAGAAACGAACGTCTCCGTGTAATTCGTAACTACTGTTTCCCAATCTGTTGAATCTGTCCATCAGATTGTAAAATGGGATATCACCGATACTTCCAGTTGTATTAAATTTTTCAAGAACTGTCACGGAACCATTCACGGCAACAGGACCCGATAACACTTGTTCTTTGAAAGGATCTAGAACATTCTCCACAGGATGTCCGTTCAAAAAGCTTGTCTCAAGTTGATGGCAAAGGATTGTGTCAAATATTTTATATCCGTCGATCGCTATATTTCTATCGGACTTTAAAATCGTGTCAGACACATGTTCCGAAAAGTTGAAACCATTCATCAAGCCCAGGATGGTCAAATTCTTGATGAAAGTGTCTGACTTGAAGATCACAGTGTTTATTTCATCTTTACTGTATAAATCTGTTAAAAGTTCCCCGTTAACTGAATTCGTAGTGATCATTCCTGTCACTTGAAGCGAGTTTAATCTCATGCTTCCGTTACAAATGCCATCAAAAATTGCATTCAATCGATCCTTCAGCAGATTGATCTCGTTCACTGATATTCCATTGATAAACGTCACGTTCAAACGATCGGTTTCCAACTGCTCCACGGATCCAATGTTCAAAGGCTCTGAACGTTTCGTGAAAGTATCGAAATCAATACCATTGATAGCCTTTGTCGTTATTTCTTCAGCCAATAATATTTCGGTCGTTAAATTCTCAAAGCTAACATTTTCAAACGTTTCGTTTAGCTTCCGATCGAAGTCTTTAAACGAAACCTCGTTTAATCTGTCGAAGGACAGCTGATCTACGGTAATCGGCGATTCAAATACGACGATTCTGTCCAAGCAGCTGCTTGAATTCGTGTTTTCGTCGAGGAAAGTCTCGAACTTCTTCGCCGCTCCGAATGTCACGTTTCTAAAAGTAACGTTCGACAGTATCTTTGTTAAATCTGAAACGAGATCCGAATGAAGGGCACGTTGCATCGGTAAAATGGATATCAACTATTGGCAAATGAAACTGAAGTCGTACGTGGAAAATCTTGATCCGTGTCCAAAGTGACGAATTCGTCCAGGAAATGTCCATTGACCATGCCGGATGTGATGGTAACGTTGGATTTCATTCCGACGTTCTTCAGAAATATTTTAGTTCCAGTGATTTCAACGTTTTCATCGGTTTTCAACAGCAGGTCCTCTAAATTCAGTAAACGTCTGTTCATCAGCAACGCGTCGAACGTGACGTTTCCCAAAACGTTCAAGTTGAAAAATATAACGTCCGGTGAAATCGCGGAAGTTTCGTTCAACAACAGCGCGTTTTCCATATTAAATCCCGATATATCACCATCTATCTGTAGACGTAGAATACTGTTGCATTCTTAGATTATATAGTAAATATACGTACTTGAAAATTAGCGGAACGTACCCAGAACTCTCCTTCGATCGTTAAGTTTTCGAAGGTGATGCTCTTTTCTAAAACATTGTCCTTGTGCAAAATTACGAAATCTTCGTAGTCTATGCCGTTTATGGTAGCTACATCTTCCAACTGCGACACTAGCATCGAATCAAACGACTTCGAACCGGTTACGACCACGGAGCTAACGCTATTCTCCAAGACATAGTCTTCTGGATACAGAAGATTATCGAGAATGTCCAGCTTGAAAATATTTGAGATCAACGTCTGAAATTAAAGCAATTATATTAAATTAAATTAATATTTAATTATACTAAATTGCATTAATATTTATTTATATTAAATTAAATATTAATATTTAATTATACTAAATTGCATCAATTAAATTTAATTATATGTTAAATCATATCGATGAGATTAGAGCAATTTAATATTTAATTATAATCATCTCTGACGATTATACTGCTCGTATAAATACAGTTAAAGTTGAACCTTACTCCTTCGATGATAGTCTCTCCAGGGATGTGCATTCGTTTGTTTTTCCACACAATGTCTCTCATCAGTATAGTCCAGTCAATTCCATTAATCATAGAAAACGAAAGATTTCCATTCACTTGAGCACGATTTATTTTATAAAATTCCACGCCACTATAGTCATCTACAGAATCACCGAACTGAATATTTTCAATTGGAATACCGTTCACGGAACGAGCTGTTACATCTCTGTTATCGACGAAATCGGCGATAGTTGTCTCGTTGATGTCATTGATGGACTGTGCAGTTAGGTTTACCACATTTAAATTGCCGGTGACGATAATATTTCCAAATATTGTGACGTCCGAAACGGAACGCGGATTGATTTCCACGGCGTTCATCAAGATTGAATCGATTTCATCAAGTTTCCGCTCTAAACTCGTCAGTCTTCCTCTAAAATCGCTCACGTTGAGTCTCAGGTCCTCTTTCGTTAAGTTCGTGCCACCTATCGTGACCGAGTGATAAGTCACGTTGTCGGACACAGTTGCGTTCGTAACGTTCGCCACGCTAATGTTCCAAATTCCTGTAATTTCCGGATTTTTTAAGTAACTCTTCTCCAGACGTGCCTCCGTTTCGTTGAGAATCCTCTCTTGATGATTCAGCGTGTCCTGCACAGGTGTTTCATCAGAGCCTGAACGTAATTTCGAAAACTGCAACGCTTACATTTAACAAACTTTGCAAGACCAGTAGCCTCTCGGTAGTGGATTGGCTCGGGTGTTTCAGATTCTTCAGTTGCACGTGAAATTTTACAATTCGATTGTCCACGATGAACCCGTGCTTCGAAAGTGGCGTAATCGTGGCGAGATCGAGCTGGTCGAGAACATTGCTAGGCAATGAGATTCTTTTGAAACTCAGGCCTTGCCAAGCGAGGGCGATCACCGTCGAGTTTCTCAGTTGTATCAGTAACAATGACTCGTCCCGATACGTGTCCAATTTTACGTTCGTCACCCACGAGATTTCTGAAATATCTACAGCACCCGTTAATTAATTATTGAGAGAAAGGGAGGGAAGATTCATTTTGATTTGATCTTTTACGAAACTCTTTCCTTTTTACCGAAGTTGGACTCAGCCTCCGTGTTGAATTGGAATTCACCGTTTACCAAGTGAAAAAGACCAGCTTCCGGGCCGGACGTTGACAAAAATTGGAGGTAACCGCTCTCAAAACAGACGAAATTCCTCAAATTGTACGACTCTATCGTTTGTAAATACTGAAAGATACTTCCCTCGATGGTAGTTTTGTATTTATAGAGCGAAATATCATTCCTGCCTTGAATAGCTAGTAAAATATCCTCGTCGGTGGGACATATTTGAACGTGGAATGCTCTCGGTATGGAAAATCTATTGTAGAACCTGCATCGTACGATTAATTGTAATTAAATTCTAGTTAAATAGACTCGGCAATCATTACGAGATTATGAGGAACAAATAATCACCAAAAGTTGAAAGTATTGGTTGAAAAGTCAATGTCAAATCCATACATGTCGATGAACGGATCTTCCAATCCAGGATGTAATTCGTTGTCATTTAACAGTAATATTTTATATGGCTTTTCGTGCTGAATGAATTTCATGTCTTTTATACGTTTCTGTACTGTCCATGACTGAACGAATTGAAGGGAATTTCCATTTTTCAGCCTGTGCCACGATAATATCGTCCCATCGTTCGATTCTACGCAGAAAACGGCCACAGCATCAGGTCCCGAATGAAGATCGATCACTTGAAACGTTAATATAATGCCTTCTAGATCGAAACTCACGGAATCATTGACCACAGCCGTATCCAGATCGAATTTATAAACGAAGAAGATGGACTTCTCAACTCGAAACAGATAACTGATACCATTTACATCCAGGAACTGCCAACTCGTCGCTGTTTTTGGCAAATTTGTATACTCATGAACGGAAATGTCCGTCACTATAAGCTCTAAAACCAGAAGAAATACCATCAATATTCACGTATAACTACGCAATACAAGTAGAACAATATTTTGCACGATACCTTCCCTGTTGCCAGCGCCTGTATCGAATTCGTATTCCATCCAAATTAACGATTCGTCTTCGGAATTTCGTGAAACTCGTGGCAAGCGGATGTCCGCAAGTTGATCTAAAGTTTTTAAAATATTCCAACAAGTCGCAGCGTTTGCACAGAGAAAAAGAAACAACCAGAACGTTTTGTCAAAGTAGTTGCGAATTGGCGAGGACATTCTGACGATATAATTAAGTCGAACGATGTCGAGAAACTTCTAGCAGTTGATCGTATCGATACAAATGATCGAATAGGATAAATATTTTGATCAATTTAGTGGTTCTCAGCGTGTCCTAAACTGAGAGGCGAAATTGAAAGGACTTCAAGCACAAAGGAGAAAATATATTATATAAAATTCGTCAGTAAACGAAAGAAAAGGAAACGAGTATTTCATGCATTAAATAGATAAAGATATATTTCCCATTAAAGCACAAAGAAGTTAAACGTACTACTGTCAATTAGTGTGGTGACAATTTCATGTCGTCAATAGTTACAAATTATAATTAGTATTTCTAGTTTTCAAAGTATTTTGCTTATGTTCGATAAATATTACAATTAATAACGCTACGTAATTTTTGAGAATGTTACTCATTCGAGAGTTTTAATAAAAACTGCTATAAAATTCTCCATAAGTAACAATTAAATGGTCAAATAAAATTGCTAAATCTCTATTTATTTCATACATGAAACATTTGTTTATATAACATTTTTTTTCTTTTTTTCGCTTGTAGATTAGGTTTCTTGTAGCTTGATTGTTTAAGTTTCAGTAAGACATCTTGTACATACATATAAACACATTTTATTAAACCAGGGTAGAATTAATGATTGGAGATAAACCTTGATACTATTTCATCGATTCCCCCAGTTTCCAAGACACCTCTTCTTGAATAATTTATCAACCAATAGGTTTTTCTTCATTTGCAACGTGCTAATTCTACACTTTCACAACCATGTAGGTCAAACAATCTTGGTTGCTCGTTTTCTTTAGTGAAAACGTTTTATTAGTCAACCTATAGTACAAAACAATTACAAACAATGTGCATAAATAACTGTGTGTTGTAAAATCGTGTGACGTAACAATTATCCCTGTTGCTTTACGAATAGATTCCATATCGTACCCTGGAACGCGAAAAAAAATCATACTTTCCGGAACCGTGTGTAATTTTTTAACCCTCCACATCCCTTTCAACTATGTATTCCTATTTCTACGTATATATGTACATATCGTTTAGACAAAACTAGGCATTATTTTGATTTTTCAAACACATTTATCTAACAATTTATTGTTACTTTAGAAAACGCAACAAGCAACACGTCGTTCTATGCTGCGAAATATCGTTAATTTTTACGGCACAGTCACTGGTAAGAATCTCGCTCTGTCGCCGACTTTTGGCGCGAACCTCAAATTCACCTTCTCCTTGTCGTCCTCGCCGACTTCGAGAAACGAATTCCAATCGACCAGGAAGTAAAGACCGCTTTTCCTTCTCGGAGGTAGAGCGGTGTCGGGTTCTTTAGTCGTGCCACCGAAAGACTCCTCCAAAGCCATCAGATTCGACGTGGAAGCGCTAGTGGAGGTGGAAGTGGCCGATTTCGACTGATCGGAACTCGCTATCGCGGAATCTGTCGTCGTGGAGGTGCTCAAGGTGGTTTCCGCCAATTCTGTTTGCGTTATAAAGTTTCATCATTATTGTATGAATATATACTAATAATAAATAATAATAATATTATTATCATATAATAATAAATATTATTATTGTATTATTAAGTTTCATTATAAAGTTTCATTCGGACTTGAGTTTCGTTCGACGCTGTTCCTTTCGAGGTGTGAGCAGCGTGAAACATTGCAATTGAATGAACAAACTCTGAGAGCCGGTGAAATCGCATGCATTCAGATTCCAGCGATAATTATACAATAACAATAACGTTACAGACAATGATGGATATTATACAGTGAGATAAAACGCGACGTATCGTTAGAATTATACGTTTCGTTAGTGCACGTAGAAGGTACAAACAGGACAATTTCTTTGGAGCATTAGTCACGAAGGAGAAACATTAGTATTCTGTGTGCAGAGTATTTCTCACTATTAGCTAGAAAAACAAACGAATGGATGGAAAGTGATAGACCTCGGATCAGTCTGAAGGTTTCACAGATCTTTTCCCAGCCAGTCCTTTTGTGGGAAAAGTCGACCTTTCTTCTATACAGAGAGGAAAAGGTGCAACGTTGTTAAAAGAGAAGGCAAGAGAAAGCAATTAAAGAGCACAATGAAAATCATGCTCCTTGTAACTCCTGAATGAAAGAAGAATATACAGAGGAATTCGAAGTAGATAGAGAATTGGTAGAAGTCAGGTAGTCAGCCAGACCCAAGTCTAATTTTATTAAACATATTAGTCGACAGATTTCGTAATTTTGTTAATCCCCGAATGAGTCTTTGAACCGAAAACTCGAAACTAGCCAGAATGTATATTATAAATTTCTCAATACCAGTCGTAACGATCGGCGAAGGTGTAGTTTGTTCCGTGGTGGTACTAGTGCTCGTTTCTTTCTTCTCTTCCGCGTCTTGTTGCCTTTTCACTTCGTTTCTGACGTCGTCGTTGTAAGATTTGATGATCTCCTCCAGCTTCAGCGGATCTGGCCCGTCTTTAAGGGTCTTCGTGGTTCGCAACAAGTCGTTCGCCACTTTCTTGACATTCTGAATGTCAGCTTTACCCTGCTGCACTAATTTCACTGTATCCAAGAGCTCGTTGATTTTACTCATCTGTTCTTCGTTGTTCACAACCGCTTCGTGGGGTTTGAACACGTGAAACTTGGATGTTCCTGTCGATTCCCTGTCCTCCGTAGAATCTATCACCGCTCTGTTTGTCTTTTGAGAATTAATGATTAGGCCAATGTTCTCCAAGATACCTCTCATGTTGCTCGGTACAGCTTCGATCAAGGAGGGAATCTCCGTGGATGGTTTCATCGATTTCTCTCTTCGATTCACATCGACGCCAAGTCCAAATTTAGCCAGGAACACCTTCATTTCTTGATCCTTCACGCTCGACGTAGGCAGAGGTTTGAAGTTTGTATACGAGTTTAAGTTGAGGATCGTTCTCTCTGTAGTAGTTGTCGCAGGTTGCAGCACCAAATTCTGTGTTTGAAGACCGAATCTTTTGAACAGCATTTGAACGTCCGGCGTCAGATTCTCCATACCTTTCTTGATCTCGGATCCTGGTTTCTCAGAAGAAATATTTCGATCGACGACTGATACCGCGTTGCTCCTGTCGGAAATCAAACCTGAAATCAAGCTGTGAATGCTGTTCAGATGCGGAAATTTAATTTTACTGTCCAGAATTTCTTTGTTCCTTTTGTAAACATCTTCGACGTTGTTGCTGTTGTTCGGTCGTAAACCAATCGAGGCCAACAGATCCATCACCTCCGGCCTCATAGACGTTGTAGTGATAGTTGTTCCCGTCGTTGGCATAGTTTGACGAAATCCCGTTGAATTCAACGAGTACGTGGAACTGTACTTTGCTTTCGATGACGTTTCGCTAGGCATCGGTGTCACGAAAAGGGCTATTGGTCTCTCAGAATTCAGTGTGAAACGTTCCGCGACGTTGCTGTCTTTCGTCCTGATCTCTGGCTCGCGCGTCGAAGAAACGGCAAGACGATCTTCAAGCTGCGTGTTGATTGTTGGGAGAAACGGTATTTTCTCGAGTTTGGAAGACACAGTTGGTTTTAGGGTGGTACTAGGCGGTGCGTTGTAACGCCATTGACTGGATGTCAGTACATTCTGATTCATTTTGAATCTCTCCAAGTCGATAGTAATTTCCTTCGAAGCCGGTTTCGTGACAGGTTCCTCCGTAACACTGGTGCTGTAAACGATTTCTAAATCGGAACTTTTGCTTCCATTGTAAATCGGATATTTCCTCGTGGTCGTTTTCTCCGTGGTGAACGCACTTTTCTGAAGATTCTCCAAGTTGAAGGTGAACCTAACAGGCGTGGAGTCTATTTTTAACGAATCTTTCAATGGCATTTTCGTACGCACTTCCGAGTACGTGTCCCTGTGATTTTTGTAATGATTCTTCATCGTGGTGGAATCTTTCGATGCAATTTTGTAAGAATTGTGATTCACTATCAAATTCTCAGTAACCAACGTCTCAGAATTCTCCGCATTGTTATTCTCTTTCTTCGTTTTTCCTTCCTCAGGCTCGTTCTCGTCACTCTCTGATAGAAAGTCGGGGATTATCTTTGTCATTGGTGGTTTCGTGTAAAGATCCTTCAAGTTTCCGGGCGATTCTTCCGCGCTATAAGGGAGAACTACCATTAGCGCTCTTTGATACATATTCCTCGCTTGTTTGAATTTTTCTTTGTCTTTGAATTCGTTCAAATCCTGCGACGTGATGTTTTCCAGAATCTTCACTATGTCTTGCCTAGTCAGCCTTGGCAACCTGGAGTCTTCGCGAACCTGTCTCTCCACTTCTTCGATCGTACGGTTGATCGAGCTCTCGATCTCGAATCTCGATGGAAGATCATTGTCCTGACAGTGACCTAGACTGGAGAGGAGCAGCAAACAGAAAACCGCGAACTGCGCAAACAATTATTACATCGATCAGACTATCGCTTATTATTAGTATGCCAAGAATTGCAAAATGAATTACAATCGGAATGCCAATTGCATTCTAAGAGTTAACGGATCCTATATTATTAACACACTTCGTGTTCCAAAACCGCTTCTCGAAATGATTTTCACTCGTAATCAGTTACTCGCAATGATCGGAAAGAGTTGACCTGGTTTCGTGATTATTTGCGTCACTTGTTTTTCAACTATCACCTTCTACAAAAATCGAACAACTGAAATTCCCTTTAAAAACGTCGTTTACATGATGGTCACCGGTGTCTGTCATTTCTGTTTATTAATAACAAATTTTAACAACAAGTAAAGAATAACAAAAGTAACTAGCTAATACTCCAAAGTGCAAAATGCACTTTCATCGCATGTTTATTATAAAAATGATATTCCGTTCCTTAAATAGAAAATAAATTTCTCGCGGCAGTCAATGTGAAAAGATCCAATTTTTCGCAAATGGTTCGTCATTGAAAATTGTGAATCTGTCACTGGTCGATGTGAATGCTCGTTAATGAAACAACCATCTCTCATCGAGTTTACGTAAGATGGAGAGCACGTTTTTCCTTTCGAACATCTAGAACCGATTGCAATCAACTCTCAGTGCCGTGTCTCTTTCATATTCATAAAGCAGCTCTCGCGAAATATCCTTGACTGAATTGGCCGATCGGGAAAGTCTAACAACTTGCTCCTATTATGTAACGT